GAAAACATTACGCCCAAGGTAAAAGGGTCTTTAAAAGAAATAGTACTCAAGGGAATGAAACGTGGTCTGAAACATTACGGTAAAGAGGTATATTCTTAAAGATGTGAATAATGTTTCAGATCAAGCATAGTTAATGGAGCGGAATGGTTTTGAAACCTATTGTTCTATGTTTTTGTTCGTCTTTATTTATTGTTATATGACGTTGACCGTGTACAGTGAAGGAAAAGCTGCTCCATTTGTTCACAGTAGTCTGTTAGGGAATATACAAGTTTTTTTCTCCTAAAAAATCGTTCTAAAATATGTGTTATTTGTTAATTAATCCTATATGATTAATATTAATTGTTTATTGAAAGGAAAATTGGCCTTTTTAATATTTTCTTATTTATCATCTAGTAACTTAACTTTATCTGCGCGGAAATATCTATTCGCATGGTGTTTGGTCACTGAATGAAATTTTTCACTTTCAAAGTGTTCATACATGAAAATAATAGGGAGATGAGTATTTCAGCCATACTTGCTTTGGTTCATTGTGCACAGTCAGTGTCACAACATCAAAAGCAAAACAATAGCTTTGTTCTATGGAGTTTCCAAACCATTCCACTCCATTACCGTCGTTTGCATTACTACGCGGCCACCCCAGACACATATCGAGTCGTGTAGTTTGCAACAGACTACGGTCAATCATTCATGTTGACGCCATTACACGTTTGGATCAGTGAGTTGGCTTTTCTATCAAACTTTCTCAGTCAGATATCACGAAGGAAAGTTCCGAAAGCGATTGCAAAGAGTTTGAGTACATCCAAGTAGAATGAGGTGTTTGATGGACGGGAGTCTATTGCAAATAAAACTGCACGACGCAATTTGTGTCTGGGGTGGCCTCGTAGTAATGGCGGTAACTATGGTTCAAGCTATTTTTTCAAGGAAAAAAATATCATTAATAATTCTTTAATAATTATCCAAGCACAAAAACACTCTATTCTTTTTTTCTTATCTTTGTCTTTCTTTTTTTTCTAAATTCGTCGCACTCCATCTGCGCACCATGCCATTTTGCTGTTATCGTATTCTATGCTCCATGAATTTTACTGTGTTCATATTACGACATACCCCGTGAGTCGACGTACTTAATCCTTTGTGAATTATAGTTGTTAGTGTTTCGGATTAAGGGCAATATCCACTTAGAACTAAAGAATCCAATCACTTCAAAAATTGAGAGACACTATTTATAAACACTTCATTTATAGGAATAAAATTTGGCTTTGCCTTTAAATCTTTTTTTTTCTCCTAAGCATAAAATGGCGAATTTACGTACGCATAAATAATGCGTTACTTGAATGTAAAAAAAGGCTAATTTTGAGCGTATTTTGTTCCCATTTCTGACCACAAGTCCGCATTCCCTTGATTATTATTTCTTTTATTTACTCGTTTACTTTGGGCGTAATGCTTTCCCATTTCAGACCACGTGTCATTCCCTTGAGTATTATTACTTTTATGAACCCTTTTACTTTGGGCGTAATGTTTTCCCATTTCAGACCACATGTCATTCCCTTGAGTATTATTTCTTTTATATATCCTTTTACTTTGGGCGTAATGTTTTCCCATTTCAGAACACGTATCATTCCCTTGAGTATTATTCTTTTTTGTACTGTGCATTAATTTTTTGCATAATCTCTTTCCATTTTAGACCACTCTTGTGCAATACTCAAGGGAATAACAAAACGTCGGACATTAATTAGAAAACACAGACCAATTTCAAAATTCTCTTGAAAGCAAGTGCGACCACAAAAAGAGTTTCTGGATCAGTGTTTTGACTTCCACAAGGTTAGTTTCTTGTCTTTATTCTAAAATGTCTCAACATATTTATCTATACACTTTATAGCGGGTGCGGTCAAAAGTGCATTTCCACTTTCGGTTCGACCCTGTTCAGCTGCGCCACTGTCGTACTTGCAAAAGGTAAATAGCGATTACAAGTTTTCTTTTTACATATCCAGACGAAAAGATTCCTATCTAGTTCAGTCCTAAAAGGTCTTTAAGGTGTTGATACACGACGGAAATAGAATAAGATGTCTACAACATTTCTAATAATTATTCTGCAAAAAGGCTTTATTTTTATTTCATTCGTAGTTACTCTGACTAATAACAACGTCTACTTTTCAAATTCATTGCGGAGATAGATCTCTGTCGGATAACAATTTGACGGAAAGCAGGCTCGTTAAATAAACTCTGGCCACTGAACAGGGCTATACTAGCAGGTGTTTGATTAAGGTTAAGATGAAAAATAAATGCGAACAAAAATGAAAAAATATATATATAAAAGTGCGATACCTTGCCCGTGCTTATTCTCTTCTTACTATTACTTATTTGATTTTTTTCTCAGTACATATGGGGTACAGTAAAAACCCGCGTATAAGAACCTAAAATTTAAGAACCTGTTAGGCTAAAATTTCATTTTTAAGCACCCTTCACATAAGAACCATTTTAGGCTAAAATCCTAAAACAGGTTCTTATTTTTTTTTTAAATAGAATCAATCTTTTCAAAAATATATTTATAACACAGTCTGTCTGTACACGATAATGCTATAAACAATATAACTGTACATGGTTACTGTAAAGAACATGTCCTCATTGAATAAAAAAATCCAACTTGAAATGAAACTTTATTTTATTTCTTGAACAAAAGTTAAGAACCTAATTAAGAACCGAGTTAGCCTAATTTAACACTAAATGCCATTTATATTAGAACCTGTTTAGGCTAACTTGAAAAAGCCTTGGTTCTCATACGCGGGTTTTTGCTGTACTCCACTCATAAAGATAGTGAAATACAGCATTTTTAGCCAAAATTAGCATTCATTTCTAGCCTGAAGTTATTCCATTTGTGAGATTAAACCGATTGGTAGCAAGAGGTGTCGATCGAGTCAGCGAATCTTTCCCAGCTGTCACTGCAAAATTCCCAACTATCAATACTACCTATCTATATTTATATTAATAAGAAACGACAGCGAAACGTTGTCTTTTACAACTAGTTTTCTTATTAAATTGTATTCCTAAAAGTGCCTTTATCAAATCTTTATTTATCTTACGAAATAAGAATCTGTATTCTTATTCATTAGCTCTCTTGAAACAATTAACTAGCAATTAACTAGCTTTAAAATCAGAAAAGCTGTTGACAGACTCTCGATTTCATAGACATATTTCTATCGTCTGTTTCATCGAACCTAGAATAATTTCTAGGCTGAACTAACGAACAATTCAAAACATAGGGCGTCCAGTGATAGTTAGCCACAGCACAATAATAATAGCAGAGAGAAGCTCGCAATCAAGATCATCAATTCATTGTGCAAACGAAAGATTCTCAGAAAGATTTAAACATATTTCAGTATCTTTTAAGTACCTTTGGATCTCCGTTATAAGAGACGGCCTACCAACCAACTTGTGCCTTTGCTCTCTAGGTGAAATTTGATCTTATACACCCAAATTGAAGAAACGTCGTTTTTTACTAAATAGTCATATGACGTATGACATCCTTCTAGGGAATATCACGTGGGCATTGCGTCATTTTAAAACGTCACGCAAAAACCTTACAACTGTGTTTTSAACCTTTTTGCAAATGAATGATCAGAGCAGTCTATACAGTGATTTATAAGGTATTTTAAGTTCCAAACTAATTAAGAACATTCTTAAATTGAAAATCCCGTCTGAAACTTTGTTTTTGCAGGAGTTGTTCATTTCGTTCACTCATTTTTTTGGGAATATACTCTGCAAATGTTCCTTTTTTGATCTACGTTTTGACCATACTTCGTTGGCCTTCTTCAGCCGAGATCTGGCGCTTTTGGATATTTTTTCCGATGATTTCTTTCAAAATATTTACTCCTGATTTTTGCTGTTCAGTCTTGTTTTGTTTTAGTGCGACGACAAATCGAAAACGATTTTTTTAAAAACAAAAAAACAAGTGAAAGTGATTTTGCCGTTTGGAAGTTTGGAAATGAATATAAGATAACTGTATGTATATTACACGTAAGGAATATGTAAAGTCTTGTGACTTAAGCAAGACTCAAATGATTAATGGTGTAAACATTGAAATATTGGYCTTCACAATACTCCAGGACTGAGAGTGTATTATTGCTGTTAAGCATATTAAGAGCTAGCCCCAAGCTATATACATTAAATTAGCGTAGCCTTGGCTTTTAGACTGTTTGAATTAGTCAGCATTGACCCCGCCTTTGTTCTCGATTCATCGATCTAGAGGATGATTAATCTTAGACCCCTCGCATTTTTGATAAAATGAAAAATAAAGCAAGTGGTTCAAGTATGGCAACTGAGGCACACCTTACTTGACTAACGAGAGGTCTCGTATATTTGAATCCTGACTTGAAAAGAAGAGTTAGAAAGTACTACATCGTTATAAGTACAATAAAAACTCGAAACAAGCAAGAGGGCCAAATACCGCATCTGAGGCACGCCTTAGTGGATCTTCCTTTTTTTTAGCTTTTTTAGCTTTAGTAGATGCGGAAATAATTAAGCAAGAGAGCCAAGTATAATACCTTGAGGCAAACCATAATTAACTAGCAAAAGATCTCGTATATTTATAACCTGAATTGCCAAAAAACCTTAGGAAGTACTTCATTTTAAGTAGTACAATGAAAACATGAATCCAGCAAAAGGGGCAAGTTTCGCACCTTGAGGCAAGCCATATGGACGCGATAAATCACGTATATTTGGACTCTCACTTCACAACAAAGGCTTAGGATGGTCATACACTTTTATTGCTAGGGCAATATAAACCCAAAAGGGTCACGTTTAGAACCTTGAGGTACGCCTTAATGTATTAGTAAGAGGTCTCTCTAAGCTTTAGGAAGGTACTTTTTAAATCCATGAAAATATGATATCAAAATGCATTGAAGTCAGGACACAGAACTAAGTACATACAACGGACCTACCGTTAACTGTATCTAAAAAGATAAATCCAGCAAGACTTTGCAAACATGATCAGTGATGAGGATGGCTGGAAAAAATCTATTGGTTCAGTCTCGAGATTTCGTTTAATTAACATTGATCGAGCGTGAGCTATCGTATACTTCAGTTCTGATCGCAGACAGAAAATACGAATTTCCTTATTAAATTCAAAACAAAGCCTCACGTATTTGTCAGTTTTCGCAGTAGGCTATTCCCAAATGAACCTGACTATAACGTCAGTCACTTCCCAGGATACCGAGCTCTAAAAAGCCTTCAGAGAATCCCCAATTGGCTTTTAAGACCCACCAATTAATCTAATACAATTACGATTTGAGAAACAGGAAAAAATAAAATTTATCTAGAAAATGAAAACAGAAGTGAATGGCCCCTCTCTGAGTAGAATGCTCAAAGAGCATACTGTTCTTTTAGAAAATAACATTTAAAAAGCACTTATCGCAATGTTTTAGAAAATCTTTTCAAACGCAGGTACTCATTCTTTAAGTGAGACGGTGACACTGCTTGCCTGCGATTTTATTATTAAAGTAGACTGAACAAAAATTCCGCGAAAGGAAAAGAGAAGAGAAAAAATGATGCGTGTCAAAAACGAACTTTTTTATAATTTACCACTGAAGTCTGGTTTCAAAACAAACGATGCACATAGAAATATACTTTGGGAGGTTTTCTAACAAAGATTGTTAGCTTCATGATTAAATTATTATGTGTGGTGTTTCTTTCCTTAGGCTCATTTGAGCGTCAGCTAACTTATGGCCGCTACATTTATAAACTGACATTCAAGTTGTCATTAAGGTACGAATAAAATTGTCTTAATTGCTTCGAAACTTCTGTCTGTGCAAGGGAAGGTCAAGGGAAAGCGAAATGAAAAGAGAGAATGAATAAAAAATTAGATGGATGGATGGATGGATGGATGGATGGATGGATGGATGG